AAGGCTGGAAGGAAGGGTGATTAAGCAAATGGAAGTACAACAACTAGAAGAGAATAAAGAGAATGTTGACACAATGTGAAAATGTAACCAATGTCACTCATTGATTATTTTGTCTAGAAACTGTGGAATGGGAGGTTTTGCTGTGTACATTTTCACCAAAAAAATAAACAAAATTTTTAACAATTAAAAAAAAAAGGAACAGAGACATGTGACCAAGTGTCTCAGGTCCATCTTCCCAGAGACTCATGCGATTGGCACTGCTATGTTAGAAGTGCTTTCAGTTGGGATTTACCTGTACACCTGGGAAATAAGGAGAGGGAGGCGGGAGAGCAAATCCCAAGGACAAAGGGCACTGGGCTTTCCTGGGCCGTTACCCACAAGGCAGCCCTCTGCCCCACTGCCCTCACTCTCTGGCAGCCCCTCTGGGTAGCTGCAAGTGTTACCCTACATAGATTAGTACTCACACCCAGGCTGTAGACAGAACTCTGGGCTAACACTACCTGCTCTGAAGGCTTAACTCGGCTCACAACCGCCACAGTGGCCAAAAACTCCTGGCCATCAGAATTCTGGCCATGCACGGAGAATGTCCTCCTCCCATCCTGCAGTTGGACACGCTGTTTCAGCTGGATGGTTCCGTCACTCAGCACAGCAAAGTTGTCATCCTCAGTGGTAAGCAAGGCTGACTCTTGCCCAGGGCAGCCTGTGAAAACTACTGTGGGGAGGGAAAAAAGAGAATATTAGGAAGGGACTTTTGGAAACTACCCCAAGAGAAACAAGACCTGGTAAGAGACTGCAGAAAGGGGACTTGGGTTACTTCCTCTGACCAGCAGTGTGACCTAGGAGCCTATTCTTGCTGACCAAATAAGTTTCAGATGGGGCTTTCAAGTTTGGCCTCGAAAGAGAGGGCCACTCTGTGGTCAGTGTATGGGCAACCACTCCCCCTACCACCATTGTTCATGAGGTCAGAGAACCAAGATCATAGGCCTTCAGTGACATTCATTCCAGGTGGTCTCATGAAACATAGGGCTGACTCAAGGTCACTGCTGGAGGCAGAAGATTTTCAGCATTTCCAAAGGCCACGCATCCACCTACCTGCAATATGTACACAGATCACTATGGACAGCTTGTGGCTATTTTAGTCTGTCATACTCCCTCTCAACCCCCTCTGCTGAGCCATTCTTTAAACAAGCACTCTTAGTTAGTTGCTGTTCACCAAGCCAGGGACTGGCCCCATTGTATCCTGCTCCATCCAGGCAAGTATTAGCCTCTTTTCAAAAATAAGCAAAGGCAGCGTCAGAAGTCAGGTCTGCTTGATTCCAAGATATGCTGGAGTATTCACAACCAAAGTTCTTACCTACCCTCACTGGTGACCAAAGTATGACATCAAGGGATCTGCTAGGGCCCACACCCTGGGCCCTGCTCCATCAGCACAACTCCCTGGCCCAGTGTTTCCCTTAATGCCAACCAGGAACACTAGTGCTCCCAGCTTTGCTGCAGTGAACCAAGGACAACAAGAACAGTGTTGTGCACGTTTAAATGTCAGGTTAAGGTCTTCCAACCATTCCTTTTTGGAAAAGCTGTCGTTTAGTCTCTGATTTTTATTATTATCACACTTTAGTATAAAAATAATCTTTCTGTAATATAAAGGAAACAGATGAGTTGGGTTTTTTTTAAGTTACAAAAGTAATATGAAATGATAAAGTATTCAAATAGTGCACAAGAATAGTATAAAAAAGTAGCAGTCTGACATGGGAATATAAAATGGTACAATCACTTTGGAAAACTGTTTGGTAATATACACTAAAACTGAACATCCAGAATGTAACCAATGTCATCGAGCAACTCCTGCAGAAACTGTTGATGGGAGCCTAAACGGCTGTGTAAATCTTTCCCCAAAACACAATTAAATATTATTAAAAAAAACACAAAAAACTGAATATACACATTCTCCGAGAGTCAGTAATTCCACTGACATACTCAACAAAAATACATTCACTGAAAGACATATATTAGAAGGTTCACAGCAGCACTATGCCTAAAAGCTCAAAACTACAAATGTCCACCACAGTTGAACGCATAGAAATGGAGATTCACACAATGCAATGAATCAACTACAAGTAAATGCAACAATGTGGATGAACCTTCTAAAGGTGGGTAAGAGAAGCCAGATACAAGGGAGGACACACATGATTCCATTGACATGAAGTTCAAAAGCAGACAAAGCTAAGTTAGGTGACAGAAGTTCAGACATTGGCCACCTTTGGGGGAGAGTGACCAGAAGGGGGCAGAAAAAGGCTTAAAACATTTCCCCAAGCATTTGCCTTCAGCCGCCCCCCCCCCCCCAACCCTCCCCCCCCCCCCCCCCCCCAGCCCAGTGCCAGGCAGGAGCCTGCGCTCACACTCAGAGCAGGTCCTTTGTGGGAAGGCTGGAATGTGCCTGTGAGAAAGGGAAGATTGCTTAGAAACCAGCCCTGCCTCCATGACAACTTCCGGAGGAGTCTTGCCTGGCCTGCGATATGCCTGGCCAATGTAGAGGTGGGGAGGGACCTAGGCCTGACTCAGCTCCAGGTCCCAGAGGCCCCCCAAGATCCCTAGGGTGGCTCCATTCTTTACTTCCAGCATACAGCTTTGCAAACCCTCTGAGGAGTCTTGCTTTGCCCTAGGCTAGAAGGATCAGCAGTGATAGGTGGCAAAGGTTAAATCATCTTTGACAGAGGACAAAAGTTAAATAAGCTGTAGATCACTCACTCCATGCATGCCCAGCTATGCAAAGTGATATTCATAACAGTTTTTTAAATTATCTAGGGAAGTTCTTGCGCTATGAGGTAAAATAAAACAGGCAGGATAGAGAACAAGTACACAGTATGTGTTTAATGCAGACAGATTAGTATATGGAACTATGCACAGAAAAAAAAGACTGGAAGGAAGAACCCTCCCAATGGTCGAGATTACCAGTGACATGTTTATCTATTTTTCTGTAGGCTCAAATTTTCTCTTAACACACATTAATTTCAAGAGTCTGTTGGCACACTTCAATTATTAATTGCTTCCAAACATTTGTGTCATAGTATCTGGGCTGTCCATCTATTTTTAGAGGGACAGTGCTAAGAATTACAGGGAAGTCAATAGTCACATACTACTGGTGTACAAGAGCTGTGGTGGTGCAGTCGTTAAGGCATTCGGCTGCTAACCAAAAGGTCAGCAGTTCAAACCCACCCGTCTCTCTATGGGAAAAAGATGTGGTAGTTTGCTTCTGTAAAGATTTACAGCCTTAGAAACCCTATGGGGCAGTTCTACTTTGGCCTACAGGGTTGCTATGAGTCTGAATCAACTCAGTGGCAGTGGGTTTGGCAGTGGGTTTTTACCAGTGTACATATGCCTCTCACTCAAGCCACATATTCCAGCTGGAACAGAGGGCCTGGTATTGGCTCAAATCCACATTCAGCTGGATGCAGAAGCACGGGGGATGGACTCAGGCCAATAGGAGCAAGCCTCAAACTCCATCCTGCCTGAGATACCCAGCTAAGTGCTTCCCTATCCAAATGCTCACAAAATCACCTGCAAGTTGGATGTTACTGTCCCCATTCTGACAGCTCAGGCAACGAGAAGCTGCCCGTGTTAAAAGAGGTTAGTGTATCAGGTCCCACAACCAGGAAGGAGCATGAACAAGTTTCAAATCATGAAGGCAAGTAAGTGATTAAGCACATGGGATTTGCAATCCAAAAGACTTGGGTTCAAATTCTTATAATACCACATATCTGACTGCATAAGTTGTGTGAGCAATATGCAAGCTTAGTTTCCTCATCTGGAAAATGGGAATAATAGCATCTAGGTCATTAAGTTACCGGGAAGGATAAATGGGATCATTTTTTTTTTTTTCACACAGCACAGAGCACTGTGCCTGGCCCAGAGGAGGTCTTCAATAAAAGGTGCCTTTAGCTTACTCATAACTCACCTAGGTTTTCTGACTCCAGTCTCGGTCCCTCTCTACACCACAGAGAAACATCTCTGGGACTTGGGGGTGAGGGGGTAAGGAGTTGGCTATAGCCACATGCTCTACCCAAGGGGCTGAAGCACCCAAGAAAGAGGGACATACATAGGGCCAAAGGGCATAATAGGAAGCTGGCTAAGTGTGTATTTGGAAAGGACTGCTTTGTAGGGGTGGTCTGTGGTTTACTGGGGGAAGGAGACAAAGTAGATCTCCAACAAGCTGACCTGCCCAGGGAAACTTGCTGAGGCACCTGTAGGAACAAGAGCAGCCCTCTCTGAGTCACAGAGGCTGCTGGTAAGCAGCAAGCCCTAGGGCGGGTCATTCTAACCCTCCCAGATGCTTCCTGGCACCACCAGCTTGTACCATTGGTTTCTTAGTGAAACTGATGTGAAACTAGGTTTCCTCAATACTCATCCCCCTTTTTCCCTGCCTTCCAAGAGCCAGGGAAGTAAACTGATTTCTCTTCCTGACTATAGCCGAGCTCCCCAGGGCTATAGTCATGGGTGCATGAATGCGCTTGTGTCAAACTCTTTCCTGGGGCAAGCTGGTGAGCTCTGGTGAGCACATGGGGCAACAGTCCAGACCTTGAGCTGAAAATAGAGGTCTAAACATAGCTCTTACTTCCACACCCACCTGGGCCTTAGACAAAGCATTTAACTGCTTGAGTTTCAGTCTCTTCAACAGGGATACTCAATCACAAGGTTAATGATGAAGTGCTATATGAATATAAACTGACAACCTTCAGCACTGCACCTAAATGCACAATTCCTATAATATTATTCGGGAAGGAGAGGGAAAGGGCATCAGTAACTTGAGAATGCTTCTAGAGAAATTAGCAACAATAAAAACAAAACCGGAGCACTGTGGATCTGCACTACATAAAAAGACAGCCAATGGAACCGGGAGTTCCTGGCATGTGTTCAAAGCTCCTCTCCAAAAACCAACCCGCCAACCCTGGCCTCAGATCCTGAACTGGCGCCACTATAAAACTTGAGCAAGAAGAATTGAGTCAAAAAAAAAAAAAAAAAGAAGAAGAAGAAGAAGAGTTGAGTCTCTGGGGTTCTAGACCTGTTGAGAAAAGCTTTCTAAATGGACTTAAAAGAACTGATGGATTCTGGGCTGAGAACTCATTCCTGTTATGTTCTGGGCCCACTTTGGGGTCAGAATTGCCTAAATATCTCCAAACTCACAAGGTACCCTTGAGGGCCAAGAGCATGTCTTAGCCATGACATGGAGGTGCTACTATATGGCCCAATGGCCAACCTTATAAGATGTTCTGACAAAATATCACAAAACCACTCATCTCTCAGGGGACAAAATGACTATAAAGATTAAGTGATTCAAGTGGTTATTTTCAGCCAGCTTCTCTGTTGCTCTCCAGAAGGGCAGGGTAATATCTGTTTGAAGATGTAACCAAAAGGGAACGTGGGGTGTCAGGGGAGAGGGAGAGACTGTCAGAGGCCTCCATTCATGCTTGTTTTAGGGACCTACCTAGCTCATAAAGCAAATAAACTTGTCTGTATAGCTATCACTACCTTTGGTTAAGGGTGTGGGCTAAGGGTATAAAGGGGGAAATGACAGAGAATTGACTTGATTCTGACATTTACTTGAGTAAAACTACATATAGGCAAAAAGCTCAACTACAAAGAAATAGAAATTAAAAGGACAAGTTCTGTGGAATGCTTAGGAATTGGTGCCACACTATATTGCTGGGGGTT